CAGTGATATATAAAAATAAATATACAACAACGTCATTCGTTAACAACCCCCGTTAAAATAATATTCTTCCTCCATCATTCTAACTAACAATATGTGCCCTTACTGCTATAGAGCCCAGCTACTCCATCATTCTAACTAACAATATGTGTCCTTACTGCTATAGAGCCCAGCTACTCCATCATTCTAAGTAACAATATGTGCCCTTACTGCTATAGAGCCCAGCTACTCCATCATTCTAACTAACAATATGTGCCCTTACTGCTGTAGAGCCCAGCTACTCCATCATTCTAACTAACAATATGTGCCCTTACTGCTATAGTGCCCAGCTACTCCATCATTCTAACTAACAATATGTGACCTTACTGCTATAGAGCCCAGCTACTCCATCATTCTAACTAACAATATGTGACCTTACTGCTATAGAGCCCAGCTACTCCATCATTCTAACTAACAATATGTGCCCTTACTGCTGTAGAGCCCAGCTACTCCATCATTCTAACTAACAATATGTGCCCTTACTGCTGTAGAGCCCAGCTACTCCATCATTCTAACTAACAATATGTGCCCTTACTGCTATAGAGCCCAGCTACTCCATCATTCTAACTAACAATATGTGTCCTTACTGCTATAGAGCCCAGCTACTCCATCATTCTAACTAACAATATGTGCCCTTACTGCTATAGAGCCCAGCTACTCCATCATTCTAACTAACAATATGTGCCCTTACTGCTATAGAGCCCAGCTACTCCATCATTCTAACTAACAATATGTGCCCTTACTGCTATAGAGCCCAGCTACTCCATCATTCTAACTAACAATATGTGCCCTTACTGCTATAGAGCCCAGCTACTCCATCATTCTAACTAACAATATGTGCCCTTACTGCTATAGAGCCCAGCTACTCCATCATTCTAACTAACAATATGTGCCCTTACTGCTATAGAGCCCAGCTACTCCATCATTCTAACTAACAATATGTGCCCTTACTGCTATAGAGCCCAGCTACTCCATCATTCTAACTAACAATATGTGCCCTTACTGCTATAGAGCCCAGCTACTCCATCATTCTAACTAACAATATGTGCCCTTACTGCTATAGAGCCCAGCTACTCCATCATTCTAACTAACAATATGTACCCTTACTGCTATAGAGCCCAGCTACTCCATCATTCTAACTAACAATATGTGTCCTTACTGCTACAGAGCCCAGCTACTCCATCATTCTAACTAACAATATGTGCCCTTACTGCTATAGAGCCCAGCTACTCCATCATTCTAACTAACAATATGTGCCCTTACTGCTATAGAGCCCAGCTACTCCATCATTCTAACTAACAATATGTGTCCTTACTGCTGTAGAGCCCAGCTACTCCATCATTCTAACTAACAATATGTACCCTTACTGCTATAGAGCCCAGCTACGGAGCTAAATTTGAGGTATCATCCTAGAACGTGAGCTTCGTGAAGATAATTACTGGATAGAAAAGGTTGTCAAGACAACCAATGGGGGTTGTCAAGATGGTTCGTGCTGTTCTGATGTTGAGCTCGTTGTCAAAATCTTAAGATTTGGGAAATATATGACAGTTTATTAAGGTTTTTATGAGATTACTATTACCAATGTAGACACGTAGCGTAGTAGTGTATATCACATCATGATACACAGAAAGCTGGCAGATATAGGAAATGTAGGTTATGATCTGACCTGGAACCAGATGTTTATAATTGTACCATGATGTTCCATAGATTGTAGTCGGAGAAGTTTGAAATTTGTTCGAATTTTTGTAAGATGAGAAGTATAGATTGGCTGGGTTTTTAAATCATAGCATCTATCTTCACTTTAGCATCACGAAGGTTATAAATTCTATCGGATTCATTCACCATAAAATCTGTGATTATACATTGCATCAATGACTTATACATTGGCAAAATACGCCATTATTTCCCATCACAATTAGTAAGTTTCATACCGAAATAGTTGCAAGAAACAATGTCTCCGTTTCAAAACATGTCATCACTAATCCCAGTCACGTGGTTGCTAGGTAACGTCACGTGGTTGCTAGGTAACGTCACGTGGTTGCTAGGTAACGTCACGTGGTTGCTAGGTAACGTCACGTGGTTGCTAGGTAACGTCACGTGGTTGCTAGGTAACGTCACGTGGTTGCTAGGTAACGTCACGTGGTTGCTAGGTAACGTCACGTGGTTGCTAGGTAACGTCACGTGGTTGCTAGGTAACGTCACGTGGTTGCTAGGTAACGTCACGTGGTTGCTAGGTAACGTCACGTGGTTGCTAGGTAACGGGTTGCTAGGTAACGTCACGTGGTTGCCTTCCGTATAACTAGTGCCAGAATCATACTTGTTTCTTGCACTTGAGCGTTTTCTAACTGATGCTGGTCAACTTATGGCAGTTTTTATTTACCTTACTTTTCTTGGTACGGTCAATATCTCGATCTTATTAAGTTAAATTAAGAATAGCGCCGCCCTTTGTTCCTTACACCAAAAAAATGTTAGGAATTTGTCTTTAATATTAACCAGTCCACGTACCAATGATCCTTTTATTCATGAAGTTAGCTGTAGCAGTATCTACTAGTAGGCTCTTGATAGAACACAATGACAAATCCTGAGACACTAGACACTAGACAGCCTTCTCAATACTTAGTCTTTATCCTAAAATGAGGAAAGATGTGAAAATTCACACAATCAAAGCATGTGTATATTTTTAGGCTTGCTCTAAATCAGGCAACAAAAGCATGTATATACAAACGTGACCAGATAGAGAGAGGTTATATTAATATTATACGGCATATATCAGGATCATCAACAACCCAACTACTTAAAATAAGGATAAAACTGCTACTGCTATCAAGGAATGTTGAGTTGACAGACAAGCGAGGAGATACAAGGTTACTATGGTTACTATGTGGTTACTATAGTTACTACAAGGTTGATAAGGGTAGTAATGTAGAATTTAGAGGATGCTAGGTCAGAGTCAATGTACAATGGTATACAGTACAATGTACAATGGTATACAATACAAATCACATAAAGTGGACGGCCCTCGACCCCTGGGTTATTACAAAATACTCATTCTCTGACAAACTAAAGTTCTGTTATAATATCTCTTTTCATTGTAATGACCATGTGCAGTAGTGAACTGAGTAGACATTGTGTTTTACATAACATACTAATTAGATTGGCCACTTGTCCAATATATAGGAGATTGAGTGACATGATGTTACATATATTTAGAATTTAAGTGACTCTTTTAATCATATTCATTGCACCCGCGTAACAAAATTCAATGTTTTCAACTAGTTATCAATAATCAGCAGTACCAAAATAAAAAACATTACAGTGAATTATCGAACTTGGCACCAGTTTGACTACAAATTGTATCCTTACTTTGGTATTATATAGTGTTGTCACTATATAGGGGAATCGTATTTCACTCTTCACAGTCTCAACAAAACTCACCGGAACTTGAAGATGAGGTAGAAAAATAGGGCAAACACAAAACTGCACAAAATGAAAGGTAGGCTGTTGCTGAGTAAAGCAAGACTGGCTGTATCCATTATGTTTACAAGCAAGCAAAATGAATGAAGTGAGTTACTAGTTACCATAGTTACGCTAAAAAAGGAAAGAGATTAAAGTTCACACGATCATAACACGGCTATATATATATCATCGACTGGCTCTAAAACAGATACAAACACACAGAAAGGTATATGTAAAGTACATTATAATACAATACGGAACACCCTGAATTACCAATAACAAAGAATGTTCAGCTGACCGACAAGATAGAGGACACTAGTTGATGAGGGCAGTTACTTTGAATTTAGATGGAGGAGGAGGAGGAGTAGTTCATTTTAATACTTCCAATATTTTAAGTTTTCATTAAATTTTCAGTAATCAGTAGCTCAGTTAACAAAATTAAAAACATTATTATGGTGAAATATCGAACTTTGGACCAGTTCGACTGTAAATAAAACTAATATTTTATATTGTGGTCAGAAGCAGATACTATAAGTTCTGATACACAGTTCAATATCTCATAGTCTACACTTTTAACTCACCAGAATTTGAAGACTAGGTAGAAATAAAGGGCAAACACAAAAGTGCACCAAATAAAAGTCAGCCCGTTGCTGAGTAAAGCAAGACTGGTTGTACTGATCATGCGTACAAGCAAGCAACTGAATAATGAGCTATACTGTATGCAGGATTTATATATTATAATATGTGTAATATTCTGTCCCGCCATACGGCTTATTAATCATCTTATCTATAAGATGATATTATGAAGGAGTAAATTAATCATCTTATCTATAGGTGTATTATAACTAGGTCGGTGTGACAATATGATATTATGAAGGAGTAAATTATGCTGATGATATGATGTCATTTAGAAGGAAACGTTTTGATACATAATGATATACTTCTTGCTAAAACGCATTAGTAATACTTCTAATTAAAACTTATTTATAATTTACTTTATTTTCGTGTGCTAATGTGTGAAAATACAGGATGCGTTTTCAACGAAATAAGAAACTTTGAACATGGGAGTATATCAGTATCACGACGAAGGAAACGATTTTACTTGAAGAAATCAACAACTTATTTTATTAATTAAACATGAATTACTTGATAATTGGTTAATTAGACATGTGAATTATGATAATTAGGTACTAATAGCTACACAACTCCTCAATTATAGTGTCGATTATTTATAGCACAGTATTACTATACAGTGCACACATTGCATACCAGTCAGGTTCAAGTAACTTTTCCTCAGCTTTGTTAGTACTGCACGTGTTATGAGATGATAATTGGGACAACAAAATGTGACAATGTGGACTATTAACATTTCATGTGTTCAAAACAAAAAAGGAGCTATCATTGCTCCTCTCAAATTTCACATGCCAAATCTACGAAAATAATTACAGGTAAGTATGCTAAATCTATTAATAGAAGTTTTTAAAGTTTAAAAGTAAAAGCGTACTAACCCGAACTTGGCTTTAGAACCAGTAGGTTTGAAGGTAGGTAGGTCTCCCACCACATCTTCTGTGTCTGATACGTCAGAAATACCCTGAAAATGATCTGATTAGGGGGAGACGATAAATTGTTAGGTATTCCCATGGTTACCACCAGGTATCTGTGAGGTGTTCCCATGGTTACCACCAGGTATCTGTGAGGTGTTCCCATGGTAACTACCAGGTATCTGTGAGGTGTTCCCATGGTTACCACCAGGTATCTGTGAGGTGTTCCCATGGTTACCAGCAGGTATCTGTGAGGTGTTCCCATGGTTACCACCAGGTATCTGTGAGGTGTTCCCATGGTTACCACCGGGTATCTGTGAGGTGTTCCCATGGTTACCACCGGGTATCTGTGAGGTGTTCCCATGGTTACCACCAGGTATCTGTGAGGTGTTCCCATGGTTACCACCGGGTATCTGTGAGGTGTTCCCATGGTTACCACCAGGTATCTGTGAGGTGTTCCCATGGTTACCACCAGGTATCTGTGAGGTGTTCCCATGGTTACCACCAGGTATCTGTGAGGTGTTCCCATGGTTACCACCAGGTATCTGTGAGGTGTTCCCATGGTTACCACCAGGTATCTGTGAGGTGTTCCCATGGTTACCACCGGGTATCTGTGAGGTGTTCCCATGGTTACCACCGGGTATCTGTGAGGTGTTCCCATGGTTACCACCAGGTATCTGTGAGGTGTTCCCATGGTTACCACCAGGTATCTGTGAGGTGTTCCCATGGTAACTACCAGGTATCTGTGAGGTGTTCCCATGGTTACCACCAGGTATCTGTGAGGTGTTCCCATGGTTACCAGCAGGTATCTGTGAGGTGTTCCCATGGTTACCACCAGGTATCTGTGAGGTGTTCCCATGGTTACCACCGGGTATCTGTGAGGTGTTCCCATGGTTACCACCGGGTATCTGTGAGGTGTTCCCATGGTTACCACCAGGTATCTGTGAGGTGTTCCCATGGTTACCACCGGGTATCTGTGAGGTGTTCCCATGGTTACCACCAGGTATCTGTGAGGTGTTCCCATGGTTACCACCAGGTATCTGTGAGGTGTTCCCATGGTTACCACCAGGTATCTGTGAGGTGTTCCCATGGTTACCACCAGGTATCTGTGAGGTGTTCCCATGGTTACCACCGGGTATCTGTGAGGTGTTCCCATGGTTACCACCGGGTATCTGTGAGGTGTTCCCATGGTTACCACCGGGTATCTGTGAGGTGTTCCAATGGTTACCACCAGGTATCTGTGAGGTGTTCCCATGGTTACCACCAGGTATCTGGGAGGTGTTCCCATGGTTACCACCAGGTATCTGTGAGGTGTTCCCATGGTTACCACCAGGTATCTGTGAGGTGTTCCCATGGTTACCACCAGGTATCTGTGAGGTGTTTCCATGGTTACCACCAGGTATCTGTGAGGTGTTCCCATGGTTACCACCAGGTATCTGTGAGGTGTTCCCATGGTTACCACCAGGTATCTGTGAGGTGTTCCCATGGTTACCACCAGGTATCTGTGAGGTGTTCCCATGGTTACCACCAGGTATCTGTGAGGTGTTCCCATGGTTACCACCAGGTATCTGTGAGGTGTTCCCATGGTTACCACCAGGTATCTGTGAGGTGTTCCCATGGTTACCACCAGGTATCTGTGAGGTGTTCCCATGGTTACCACCAGGTATCTGTGAGGTGTTCCCATGGTTACCACCAGGTATCTGTGAGGTGTTCCCATGGTTACCACCAGGTATCTGTGAGGTGTTCCCATGGTTACCACCAGGTATCTGTGAGGTGTTCCCATGGTTACCACCAGGTATCTGTGAGGTGTTCCCATGGTTACCACCAGGTATCTGTGAGGTGTTCCCATGGTTACCACCAGGTATCTGTGAGGTGTTCCCATGGTTACCACCAGGTATCTGTGAGGTGTTCCCATGGTTACCAGCAGGTATCTGTGAGGTGTTCCCATGGTTACCACCAGGTATCTGTGAGGTGTTCCCATGGTTACCACCGGGTATCTGTGAGGTGTTCCCATGGTTACCACCAGGTATCTGTGAGGTGTTCCCATGGTTACCACCGGTATCTGTGAGGTGTTCCCATGGTTACCACCAGGTATCTGTGAGGTGTTCCCATGGTTACCACCAGGTATCTGTGAGGTGTTCCCATGGTTACCACCAGGTATCTGTGAGGTGTTCCCATGGTTACCACCAGGTATCTGTGAGGTGTTCCCATGGTTACCACCGGGTATCTGTGAGGTGTTCCCATGGTTACCACCGGGTATCTGTGAGGTGTTCCCATGGTTACCACCGGGTATCTGTGAGGTGTTCCCATGGTTACCACCAGGTATCTGTGAGGTGTTCCCATGGTTACCACCAGGTATCTGGGAGGTGTTCCCATGGTTACCACCAGGTATCTGTGAGGTGTTCCCATGGTTACCACCAGGTATCTGTGAGGTGTTCCCATGGTTACCACCAGGTATCTGTGAGGTGTTTCCATGGTTACCACCAGGTATCTGTGAGGTGTTCCCATGGTTACCACCAGGTATCTGTGAGGTGTTCCCATGGTTACCACCAGGTATCTGTGAGGTGTTCCCATGGTTACCACCAGGTATCTGTGAGGTGTTCCCATGGTTACCACCAGGTATCTGTGAGGTGTTCCCATGGTTACCACCAGGTATCTGTGAGGTGTTCCCATGGTTACCACCAGGTATCTGTGAGGTGTTCCCATGGTTACCACCAGGTATCTGTGAGGTGTTCCCATGGTTACCACCAGGTATCTGTGAGGTGTTCCCATGGTTACCACCAGGTATCTGTGAGGTGTTCCCATGGTTACCACCAGGTATCTGTGAGGTGTTCCCATGGTTACCACCAGGTATCTGTGAGGTGTTCCCATGGTTACCACCAGGTATCTGTGAGGTGTTCCCATGGTTACCACCAGGTATCTGTGAGGTGTTCCCATGGTTACCACCAGGTATCTGTGAGGTGTTCCCATGGTTACCACCAGGTATCTGTGAGGTGTTCCCATGGTTACCACCAGGTATCTGTGAGGTGTTCCCATGGTTACCACCAGGTATCTGTGAGGTGTTCCCATGGTTACCACCAGGTATCTGTGAGGTGTTCCCATGGTTACCACCGGGTATCTGTGAGGTGTTCCCATGGTTACCACCGGGTATCTGTGAGGTGTTCCCATGGTTACCACCAGGTATCTGTGAGGTGTTCCCATGGTTACCACCAGGTATCTGTGAGGTGTTCCCATGGTTACCACCAGGTATCTGTGTTCCAGCTTAACTTGTTATTTTTCTAAATTTCTTATTTAACCGAATGTTTTGTTTTTAATAGTCTAAATATTACAATCTCGCATCAAAACGCTGTTTGATTCTTCTTACATTGTGTGACAATCTTCTCTAGTATCGATAAAGTCCCAAACTTAGATATTATTACTGATAATAGAAGGTAAGTATTTATGTTTGTCTGAAAATGAGTTGCCGAAAAAGGAGTGCGCAATTAAGGGCCTTGCTTCAGATTAAGACGCAAGTTTTAAAATAAACAAACTCCGCGAACCTTTCAACACGACAACTTAACACCAAACAGAGACAAAAACCGGAAAGCTCATTTCCGGGAACTATGGAAATTAATTAATTAATTAATTAATTAATTAATTAATTAAATATTCAGACCAAAAAAAAAGGAGTAGGCAGTAACCCCATTCTAACAATCAACTTGTTGGCAGTCAGCCAATAATCCCGTAACCTTGGTAATCTCGTAAACTTGTAAATAATTACAGAAAACAGATGATGTGAACCTGTATAAAGTTGCATGAGATAATCAAGCAGACCTCGTTAAATACCTTTTGCGCCGGTTACCATAGTTACACTACCTTTTGCGCCCTGACTTTGAACTATATTAACTATATTAACTCCAATTGCCGCACCTTTACTTTAAACTATAGCTATTAGGAAACCTCCTGGTTTCTTCTAGATTTAATTATTGAAGCCTAACCTGAGGACTCTTTGATTTATCGGTTTCTATCTTCTTTCAATTGAAAGAAGACAGGAACCATGTACTGGGTTACGTGGATATTGCCTGACTGGTTTATCCTCAGAGTAACACTTACTGGTGAACACATTGATAAGAATTGCGGTTTTTTATTAACAAATTTGTTCACAATCTACACTAAAATAACAGCACATAACAAGGCATACTTTTCAATTGAATTGTGTTTTTTTTGTTACCGTAATTGAGAAGCTATAGCTATAAAAACAGGAACTTACATCTTTCAATTCGACTGGGCAAGAAATAGACCTAGTCAGAGGGCTCAGGAGTATTTTTAATGCTATTTTCACAATAAGCATTTCGAGTAAAGACTATTCCAGCTCACAAACTTAAAGGTCGAAAAAACGCAACGTGATTTACGGACATGACAGCCTGATATGAGAATTGGCAGTGAGTAACATTATTATAAAATACTTCACGGAATTCCATATGAACTCTGTTAATAACCTTGGTCCTTGTTAAGAACTTTAGCTTGAGACTGTTTCATATTACATGAAGAGCGCTAACCAAGCTAAGTAATGAGTCTTCTTACTAGGGTATGACAAGGATAATTGATATTGTCAATATGTTAAAATACAAGCAAGAACTTCATTCACTAATGCCACATACGTTCATTCACATACATAATAGTATAATTTACAGTACTGTTGTTGTTCGAGAAGGATAAATAAACGAATTGATTTCGTAGAAACCTACACAGATTTCGTGGTTCAAGTCAAAACGTCCGATTAATAGTTCCATCTTGACATCTGATCAAATTAAGAATATAATTGATATGTAACATGCACTTTTAATAAAGTAATTAAGTGCCTATTAGTAATAATTAACATAAAATAGTGTATCTTGAGCATACTAAAAAAGCATAGAGAAAACGATGACGGATAATGTATACTGTCAAATCGAATACATGCACACTGGGTGGGACCTGTAAATTATAAGCGATATTTTGACGCACCACCACAGTAAACCTTGTTATCAAAAGTACGATAAAAACTTTTAAAATTTGGGAAATCTTTAAAATTCATGTAATTCGTGATGGACCAAAATGTCGTAAAATACTTATTTCACAATGCTTGAAACAACGTGACCTCATTAAATTGTTCACAATTATCAACTAATCGCAAAGAAACTCATTAATCAGGACATTCCGGTTACATAAAGTGAAAAGTGTCATTAAATTAATTAAATTAATGATCTTAACAACCGTTGGCACCTCATCTAAACTTTATCAACCTCACCGGAATTCCTAGAAGTAACCAGGTAACCAGCTAGAAGCCTGCACGCGACATTCTGGCACGGATTGTGGATGATAATATTATGAAACATGAGTCTCATCTGCAGAGTTATTTATACTAAATACATCGCTACTTACAGTCCACAGCTCTTAGGACGATAGCAATAACATATCAAGTTTAAAAACTAGGGTCCTGAGGAGTAGTTTAAAACAAGGAGATTCTCGTATACAAACCCTCCATAGTCCATAATGGTGCAACTCGGGCTGAGGAGTAGTTTAAAAAACATGGAGTTTTCTCGGTACACAAACCCCATATTGGTGGCAACTCGGATCTGAGGAGAGTTTAAAAAACATGGAATTCCACAACCTCCATAAAGGTGGCACTAGGTCCTGAGGAGTCGTTAAAACATGGATTTCTCACAAACCTCCATAATGTGCAACTAGGGGTCAGAGAGTAGGTTTAAAAACATGGAGTTTCTCGGTACACAAACCTCCATAATGGTGGCAACTAGGGTCAGAGATAGTTTTAAAAAACATGGAGTTTCTCACAAACCTCCATAATGGTGGCAACTAGGGGTCTGAGGAGTAGTTTAAAAACATGAAGTTTCTCGGTACAACAAACCTCCATAATGGTGGCAACTAGGGGTCTGAGGAGTAGTTTAAAAACATGGAGTTTCTCACAAACCTCCATAATGGTGGCAACTAGGGGTCTGAGGAGGTAAGTTTTTTAAAAAATGGAGTTTTCTCCACCAAACCTCACTATAAAGGTGGCAACAGGGGTCTGAGAAGTAGTTTAAAACATGGAGATTCTCGGATAACAAACGCCATAATGGTGGCAACTAGGGTCGGAGAGTAGTTTAAAACATGAAAGTTTCTCACACACCTCCATAAATGGAGGCAACAGGGGTCTTATGAGTAGTTTTAAAAACATGGAGTTTCTCACAAACCTCCATGAATGGGTTGCAACTAGGTCTGAGAGTAGTTAAAAACAAGAAGTTCTCACAAACCTTCATAATGGTGGGCAAAAGGGTCTGAGAGTATTTAAATCATGGAGTTTCTCACAAACCTCCATAATGGGCAACTAGGGGTCTGAGGAGTATTTAGAAACATGGAGTTTCTCGTATACATACCTCCATAAAGTGGCAACTAGGGGTCTGAGGAGTAGTTTAAAAACATGGAGTTTCTCGGTACACAAACCTCCATAATGGTGGCAACTAGGGGTCTGAGGAGTAGTTTAGAAACATGGAGTTTCTCGGTATACAAACCTCCATAATGGTGGCAACTAGGGATCTGAGGAGTAGTTTAAAAACATGGAGTTTCTCACAAACCTCCATAATGGTGGCAACTAGGGGTCTGAGGAGTAGTTTAAAAACATGAAGTTTCTCACAAACCTCCATAATGGTAGCAACTAGGGGTCTGAGGAGTAGTTTAAAAACATGGAGTTTCTCACAAACCTCCATAATGGTGGCAACTCAGGGGTCTGAGGAGTAGTGGGGCTGACATGCCACGTTGTAGCAGGTTCTGAGAGGACATGATCTTTTTCTTCCAGTCAGCAACAGCAGAAGCGTCGCTCTCGTCCGAGGAGGAAACTGTCAAACAATATAAGTAAGGAAATGTATAATAAGTTATGATAGAGAAAACTGAGTGTTTTCCAGTTTTAGAAATTTAGAACAAAAGGAAAATTTATGAGCACAGAGAAAATTTGATCAAAATAGTCTGTTTTCAAAATCAACCATTTTAATTAATCAGAGATCATTTACCTGGAGAAGTTTCTAGAACTTGAATTTTAGCCACCAAAGGAGAGACAGGGGTTACCGGTGAATTGTTATCGAAAGGAACCGCAGGTTTTGCCATTTTCCTCACTCCACTATCATAAGGAGGTGTCTTCTTCTTGATAGCCAGAATTTGGGATTTCTTTTCGGAAAAGTTAAGGGGATCTTTAGCTACCTCCTCCCTCCGCCATTCTTGAACTTGAGGAGAGATTTTATCATTTCTCGGCGATGTACTGACTGTCTTTGGTGGTTTTGTATTATTCACGTATTTGTCCAGTGAGTTTTCGTTGGTCTTGAAGTTTTCCGTTCTCAGTAAAGCTGGGCTAGATTCCCATTGTCTGGAGTTGGTCAGTAATTTGTTAAGTGCTTTCCCGCCAGTTCGGAATTCGTCACCGAAACTATCATTTTCCTCCTCCACATCCTCCTTCTTTTCGTCATTTAAATTGGAGATTGTTTTTGAATCAGCTTTCTCAATCTCAACTTTCACAGGAGTACTCTTGGTTGGTTTTGTGTTCTTTATGTATTTGTCTAATATCTTATCGTTCACTTTAAAAGACTTATCATCTTTGGTGGGCTCTTTCTCTAATTCTTCCTTCTTTTCGTCATTTAAATTGGAGATTGTTTTTGAATCAGCTTTCTCAATCTCAACTTTCACAGGAGTACTCTTGGGTGGTTTTGTGTTCTTTATGTATTTGTCTAATATCTTATCGTTCACTTTAAAAGACTCAACATCCTTGGTGGGCTCCTCGTCAGACAACTTTATATCTTTTTTGTCTCGAATCGGCAAAGAAGCAACAGTTTCGGAACGTTTGGTATTATTTAGAAATTTATTCAAAATGTTTTCGTTGGTGCGAAACTGTCCACTGAATTTTTCCTCGTCTTGAGTGGATTCCTTGACGGTGTTCAGATTACCGTTACGATCATTCTTTCTCTTTTCTTGGTTTTTCGGTCCCTCAACCGAATTAATTTTATCAGACATTTCTTTGTCTGCATCTGGACCATTTGTCAGCAAAGAGTGGAGCGTTTTAGCTCTTCTGGTGTTGCTGATCAATTTGTTCATTATCTTCTCATTTGAACTAAATTTTTCTCCAATCTTTTCCTCCTGAGATTCTGCAAAAAGGATCCTGTTGCTATCATCAGATGGAATTGGTTTTGTGTTTCTTACTTTTTTATCCAAAATCTTTTCTGATCGATAAAAGGAGTTTCTGTCGCTAATTCCATTAGATTGTATAGGAATAGAACCAGTGGTATTTGCTCTTTTTGTGTTGTTGACAAGTTTATTAAGCACCTTATCATTACTGTGGAAGGGTGCAGCAGAAGTGGTGTTACGTTTGCCCGAGGGAGTGTTTGGCTGTTTTATGTGGTTGGTTGTAGTATATTTACTGGAATGGGACACCTTTATGTCATGGCCACCTAGTTTCACATGATATGAGTCATTATTCTTGAGCTTGGTGTTACTGATCTTCCTTTCCGGCAACTCCTCAGTGGAGTAAATCTTCCTTTCAAAAACCTCTGATCCCTCATCAGATACTAAATCTGGAGGAGACATTTTACGAGGCATGTGCTTGACAGGTGCTTCCATTGTTACAAACTCCAGTGTATCATCTAAATTCACTGCTCTGACTGAAAAACCACCGTTCCCCCTTCTTGACTCACACGACTCCTTCAAGTCTTCATCAATAAAGATGTCTTCTTTGTCCTCTTCAAGAGCCGGATTAATGAGAAGGTTGGACTGTTTTCTAGGCAACAAATCTGGGCTAGTGGAGGAAGTGCGTGGGCTCCCAGGACCTAGGAGACTGTCAATGCTTGTGATACTGGCGACGCGGTGACTGGGAGTAGTCGTTCCAGACAGGCTCTCCTGAGAGGTTTTATTATAGCAACAAAAATTGTAGGGGGAATTTTCTCCCAATCTGATATCAATATAATTGGTCACGATTTGAGGATCGAACTGAAATGCAAGTAAAGAAATTTTATTTAAAAAATTACTCTTAATATACCTAAGATAACACTTATTACATACCTCAAAGTTTTCATCACATCCACTGTCATCGGATTCCTTTTTTAATAAGCACACATTCTCGGGTTTTATAATATGCTCAAAGGAAACCCGTCTGATTGTCAGTTTAGGTTCCTCTGCTGGAGCATTAGGGAGAATACGCTTAGTTGCCCTTGCTTTGACAGGACCATACGACTGTATCCTAGATCGAATGGAAGGGAAAGCCTCTTCTACGTCAAGCGACATTGATTTTTGTCGGTCTAGATTTTCTTCGCCTGTCAGAAAAATAAACTTTTTATTCTTACTTTCAGGTGTTTACTGATAGATAATAGAATGAAATCGATATAATTTTCGAAACCAACTTAATTATTCAATGAAACAAGAAATTTTCAATATATTTAAATTTATTTAATTATTGGTTTTACTACTAACCAGAGTTTATGTCGTTTTGCGTGGTTCTCCCAGGAAGTTTCCTGCGATATACAACTTCACTAGATTCTGCTAAGGGCTGAGTCACACGTTCATTTACTCTGTTGTTTTCATTTTTAACACCACTATCTTCAACAGTTGCTAATGCTGCTTCTAGGGCACCATATATGCTGCTACGCCCAAAGACATTTTTCTTCACAGGGGCACTTGTTTTAACCTCAGAACCATCGCTGCAAATTGTGAAAACGTAGTTATGGCATAAAATTTTGCTGATGGCTATATTTTTCATTAGACAGAAGTTGGAACATGAATAAACACGTAGTTAAGAAGAGCGTCGATGAGAATCAATAACTATGTACTGCTACCGTTGGAAGTGTAACAAAAGGAAAATGAAAAGAGTAACCACTAACCTGGTTTTTACAGAATATACACTTTTTTTCACAGAAGAAGATGAATACTTGGATTTAGCACTTGGAGTCAGAAGTGAAAGAACGTCAAGAGGTTGAGATGGAGGAATGTAGGATGAGTGGCGGTTGGCTGCAGAAGTTCCCAAATCTAAATAAAAGTGGGGTTAGGATGCTATTGAAGATGAAAATCCAGAATGTATAGCTACAGTGAGCATTTTAATAACAATATTATTTCAATCCTAAACCGCGCTGTGTAATGACATGACTTTTCTAAATAGAAAAGCTTAACAAAGTTCTTATCGACCATCAACCATGTCACCCAGAAACGTTAAAATTTAAGCATCGTTATCACTCAGAAATTTGATGATAGAGTAACCATATTAACATTTTTATGTTATTATGTTCTATTGATACCAGTTTATGATGTTCTACTTGTTCCTCATGTTTGATTATTTTGATTGTTGAAATAAACTTTTGTATAATTGTATTGTATGATTTCAAATCCATCTTCAATGTAGTCTGAATTGAATACTGATTTGAAGAATCTTGATATGTTCACTTTGCTAGTCACTACCCCATTCTGAACATCTGCTAGTTCTTTGATTGCATTTGGCTGATTTTTATGAATCCACCTTTCAGCAACTTAATACAGTCTAGCGAACAATTTTCAGTTTTAAAATTGCCCCACATTCAAACGAAAATTTGGAGCCCCCCGGCCCCTCCCCCCTAATAAATGACTAACATGAGAATTTGTAATATAATCTAATAATGATAGTTACCATTGAAGTTCCTGTATCTTGATCGGGGTGTTGAACTCATTTGATGAAATTCTTGCAGGAATCTACATGCTTGAGAGGATGATTTGAAAAACAATTCATAAAGTAGATAAAATCAATCCTAAATCAATCTGGGTAAATGGAGAAAAAAAGTCAGATGAAAAAGAACCACAGATATTTCTGCAATTATTGCAATGATCGATTTTTCAAATGTCTAAAAAAAGTATGTTCGCAAACAAAATTGCTATGATAGCAGTAGGTCTTTCTTTGTCAGCTTACGTGGTATTGATATTTGATACCTTAAGCTTCTTCTATGGAAGACTTTTTTGTACAAGGCATATATTCTGAGTGAGCACCACTAACTGCAGATCATAAGGGATGGAGATATTTTACCCATTGAAGCTGTCTGATACTATCAAAGTGATGACACAGTGGACACGGCTAATCCTTTTGGATGGCAATCTTCCCATGTAACATGTAGGATACAAGGATACAAGAGTACAAGGGTACAAGATACAAAAGTGATAATTACTTTATTGAGTACACAATATTTAATTTAGAAATGTTATGTAATACTAGTTTTTTTTTATAAATCGAGTTTGTATGGTTCAATTTTATTTTAAGGTCCTATAGCATTATGCACTTGCCAGTATTTGAGTGGAAATCTGGGCTCTTATAATAATGAAACTAATAAATCAATGAAACTAATAAATCAATGTTTTAGCTCATTTTACAAAGTCAAATATTTAAAACAATTAAAATTGTATAGTGCTCAATTTGTAAATGACTAGTTGATCTTTGCTATTGGAAGTTTGTCAAGGACTGGCAGCTAGCGGGGCAAGGAATGCACGGGCTTAGGGGCTTTTGTGCACACCAGAACACTAGCTCGGTAGATTTTTGGAAACTAGAAGGACTGAAAACTAAAATTGTTTTTGATGGAGGCTGAGGCATGTTTTTGAGAGGGACGGTATAATAGCTTGTGGTAACAACTGGCCTTTACTTTAATAGGATGAAGTTTTAGTTTTAGGACAGGAAGAAGGCATTAAGAAGATTTGCTCTTTGTTTACAAGGCAGAATATAAGCAATGTTGGTTATAATATGTATCAATATCTAGATCTTCGTTTATCAATTTTCACTAAATGGGTTTAAAATTTTAATAGGGAGGGAAATTCATCAACTTTATTAAGTACCTATCAAAAATAAATCTTATATCAATGTAATATATTAAAAATCATAATCCTAAGTCTAATAATAAATCTGTTAAAAACACTTTCTCACTACACTGCGCTCACACACGTTAGTAAGACAAAGGAAAATGCACACCCAGCTAATTTTCAATTTCAAGATAATCATTTTGGATGTGTGGACCCTAGGGTAGACTTAATGTCAAAATTTAGATTAGAGCATTCGAAATCTTTGTTTGTCCAATCAAGATCAGCATGGTTATGCTGGTTGACGAGCAGTGATTGCTTCATCCTAGACTTCAGGCAGGCCACACTTAGACAGTAGTCACGTATACCAAGCTTAGGCACAATTACGTTCCAAATACGAGTCGTTCTGCTATTGAAGTTGTCAGGGGGGTCTGCTTGGCTTAGTATAAGGGTGGGTTTCCTACTTGAGCAGGTGAAATTTTCATGGAGGGAAATCGGAGCACGGAATTTCATGATTTTATAGAGCTCAAGGAAACAATGGTAAGTGTACAGGTTTTGGACGGCAAGTATTCCGTGTTCCTTGAACAAAGGTTTCGTGTGCTCTTTCAAGAAAAATTTTTTGTTCAGATTTTGGTTGCCAAACGGTCGAGCACGAGCACAGGTCTTAAATTTATCTAGGTATGCCTCCCTGTCGCCAAACAGTACCCTGAGACAATATTTTTGTGCTTTGAATACAGAACTTATACGAGTTTTGGCTGCCCCACCCCAAACCGTGATACAATAGGAGAGGTGTGATTCAAATAGAGTGTAATACAACTGGCGGTGTAAGAAATCTGGGAGGGAGCAGCGTAGGCGGCAGAGAGTTGATGTTGCATGGCTGAGAGAACGCCTAAGTGATTTTATATGTTCTTCCCAGGTTAGCTTTTCATCGATGACGACTCCCAGAAACTTAGCAGATGCAACTTGTTTTATTGGAAAGTTATCAATGGTTAGAGTATATTCAGAATTATTGTCAGTCTGGGAGGACGATGCTGGTTTAAAGTGAATGAAACAGCATTTAGACAAGTTGACATGGAGTTTGTTTGCTCGCATGTAGGAATATAAACTAGCTAAAAGAGAATTACCACGCATATATGCCTCCTTTTTAGATTTCCCAGTCACAAATATATTGGTGTCATCAGCGAAGGTGACAAATGATCCCAAACTGGAGCTGTTGGCGATATCATTAATATATAGGAGAAATAAGAGAGGTCCAAGAATCGAACCCTGAGGGACTCCAAACTGTATTTTCAAGGCGTCAGATTTCTCACCAACAACTTCAGTATATTGTGATCTATTTGTTAAGTAACTTTTTATAAGATCATTTGCCACCCCACGTATCCCATAGCCCTGTAATTTGACAAGTAATGTACCATGATCTATTGTATCAAAAGCTTTGCTAAGGTCTATGAATATGCCTAAGACATGATGCTTAAGTTTTAGAGATTCAGTTATAAGGTTTATTGAGTGATTAACTGCATGTGAAGTAGAGTGTGACTGCCTGAAGCCAAATTGTGTTTTAGATATTATACCCTGTGAGCTAGCAAACGAATATATTCTTGAGTAAATGATCTTTTCAAAGATTTTACCAAATATAGAGAGAGTAGAGATTGGGCGGTAGTTTTCTATCTCTTCAGGGTTTCCCTTCTTAAATACAGGAGTTATTCTACCAGTCTTTAGAACGTCGGGGAACGTGCCATTAGACATTAAGATGTTGATGTATCGACTAAGGATCGGTGTAATTACGTGAGATGATCTTTTGATTACACTAACAGGAATATCACTTGCTTTTCCATTTTCAAATCCTTTTATTATTTCCGTTATCTCATAAGGTGTACAGTCTTCTAACATAATCGATTTTTCATTAGTCTTTCCAAGGAAATCATAGAATGTTTTTATAGGGAGAATTGGTAAACCAGAGGCCTCACTGCTACTAAGTGTTTCATTGAGCTTAAGGGCAATAGAAACAAAGTATGAGTTGAATCCATTGGCTATGACTCTACGATTCATGATTCGTTCGTTGTTTATGATAAAGGGAGGCTTAGTTTGCTTCTTTTTCTTGCCCCTGAGCTCATTGATTATCTGCCACGTTTTTTTGCTGTTTTCTATATTTTTATGGATTTCATTGCAGTAGTACGATCGTTTGGCGACCTTGATAATACTTTTAAGCATTCTTCGGTAGTCACTGAAGACTTTATAGAGCAGTACATTACCCTCAGGGTTTCTATTTGTTACAGTGCTTGACCAGTCTCTACAGAGTTCATGTTTTCTTTCAACTGAGACAATGATTCCATCGGTAATCCACGGGTTGAGTTTGGGAGTCCTTTTGGTAACTTTTGGTACATCAAGCTTACAGTGTTTATCAAGTGTTTCATTGAAGCAGTCCAAGAACTCATTGAAGTTTACCGAGGGAGTCAAGTCATTCACCTTCACCTCGAGTTCATTAACAAAATTAGTGAGTTTGGAACTTGAATAATCATAGTAGCGAACATGTTTAAGTTTTTCAGTACTGTTTTCGGTAGGAATTGACGTGAAGGTGAATATAAAGGCATGGTCACCAATCCTATCATTCAATACACCGGAGAGAAGTACATGATCTATCTCTGATGTGAGGATATTGTCAATACATGAGTTTTTACAGTTAGGACGGAAGTGGGTAGCAAGTGATATAGTAGGATACATATTGTTACGAAGTAACGTGTCCTCAAATAGCTGGCTGGAGGTTTGTACATTGAGGAGGTTAGAGTTAAAATCGCCAAGAATATGGAACTTTTTACCAGCCAACTGCTTAGATATATCCTCAAGAGTTTGACAAAAGGTCTCACTACAGCCATTTGGAGGACGATAAGCAACCCCATATGTCAGTTTATCACCCGAGCTAAGAGTAATTTCAACAAATAAGCACTCAATATCTTTTGTACAGTGAGATAGATTTTCGATTACTACAGCATTCAGGCGATCAGAGACATATAAGGATACTCCTGTTCCTTTTTTCTTATCAGGGAATGGTACTTGACAAAATGTTGTATAGGAGGGGATTTGGTATAAGCCTTGTTGGCTTGGATCGATGTTGGTCTCAGCCAATCCAATGACATCAAAATTACACGGGAGGGTCTTATGTTCTATTAAAAAGCTGTCAAAATTACTAGCAAACCCATCTATATTGCAAAACAGAGCGGGCAGATAAGCAGAATTTTTATTTTTCTCAGGAAAAAGTTTGCTGATTGAGTTTGCTAGTTCTTGTTTTGTGTAACGCTTACAGTCTTCAAGTATTGAAGAGAATTTAGCTATGGTGACATCTTCCTGGTTGTTTGTATCATAGAATTTATCTGAATCATCATATCTTTGGCTGCTTGGAAATGGGCAATACCTATCTTCTATTGTACTACAGCAATCACTGCACATCCATAGACCGTTTTTGCTTGTAAATTTCGCGGATCTGAAGCACTTAGTATGAACAACTTTGCTGCAATTTTCACATTCTAAGAGTGGCTGGCCAATATTAATGTATTTACTACAGGGGTCGCACACATCTTTAATAAGTTTCATAATCATGATAAACTAAGTGGGATAAACTCCCACTGGTCGGGTGGCCTTCCTTTGTCTTACTCTCTCCTGTCTCTCCCTCACATACACCCACTGTTTCAGACATCTCACAAATTTAGCAATACCAAGCTCTCCGAGATGGATTTCATCACCATTTCTCGTGAGTTTCATAGCAAGCAACCCTTTACCGTCTAAAAAGTGGCCAACACCAAGGTGCCATACAGTCTGGTTAAAGCTAGAGTACAACATTTCATCAACCAAGCTGTTGAATGCCATAATGTTTTTATTCATCTTAGGGAGTCTAGACGGTAAAACTGCTGTGACAAACAACTTCGCCTTAGGGCACAGTTTCTGGATCTGCTGGATTTTCAGGTGGAGAATGTCTACCAGCTGGTGTATATCACCAGGTGACTGCACATTTTCAACTCGTAGATCGTTGGTCCCACAAACTAAGATGACGTTGCTATAACCAATGCAGAGCTTAGGGTCTATTGCACTGACCTTGTTGGCTTTAACACGTTCACCTGGGAAGGACTGTCCAAGGGTTCCAGTACCGACACCGAACTTGATGGGCTTGGTGTTAGAGTCGCCCATGATGATGCAGCTCCGGCTAAACTGTTTGCTCACAGTTCTCAGTGTGATGGAGAACCTTCCTGTCTGCACAGAAGACTGAGTTTCAGCAGGACCTGTTTCATCAATACCGTGACGATACCAGGCTTGTGACGATCGTGTCATCACATACACTGAGTTAGATTCTGGACTCACACTATGAACATACTCAGTTGAGGCTTCGTTTCCGGTCTCATAGATGCACTTAAAGCACACCTTCCTGACGTCGCCTATGCTGATAGTAGCAATTTCTGAGTTAGCAATAATCTCAGACTCATCGTCAGAGTGAAAAGGGAGCTCGCTATTAGTGGTGGTATCAACTGAGGGAGGGTAGTAGTTTATTAGGATGGAGTTGGGCTTATGGGTCAGTCTGCACTTTGATGTAACTGCGTCTATGGCTGAGGCAAGGGGTGCTGGGATTGTGGGGGATAGGGGTGGGTCTGAATCACCAGTATAAGAGTAGTCTTCCCCAAACTTGAGGACCTGTCTTCCATTCTTCGGGATGAACTTATTACTAGCTTGGCTCTCCAGGAGAAACTCTGTAACTTCTTTGAGGATCTCAGCACTTAGCACATCGACCAGGTAATCACACACTGGAGGTTCTGTGCATTTAGGGAGGGGGATTTCTGTAGCAGGTGGTGCTTCAGATGGACTTCTGGACTGCTGAAATTCATGAATCTCTTGACTCAGCTTCTTCAGTCTTGTCTCCAGGGATACAATCTCCACAGTAGGCATACTGTTACCAACAGCATTAGAAATAGCATCTGATATAGCCTGTATGTTCTGGCTGTAGTCTACAGAGCTCTTTAGGTTGTTGTCCATCTTGGCTGACATGCTGGAGCCTGGTCTGGGGAATGATGTATCGAAACACCATGGACATAGCCATTCTGAGAGAATCATATTCAGAGAAGCTTCAAGAGGTGTATCGTGCTGAATGTTGTTAGCACCCTTGAGATTGCAACAGGAAGCATGCCAGTGCTGAAAACATCTGGTACACTTGAACTTCCATTCCTTACCATCTGATGTTGATCGGCAAGGACAATCACTCTTTGAAGCCCGTTGTTTTACTGTAGGTTTATCCTGGATTTCAAGTTCTTCAGCAGACTCTTCAGCACGGGAGAATGGAGGAAAGGACTTGTACAGAGGGCTCATTGGACTGCTGGGGCTCTCTCTGAGGTTCGATGATTCTAAAGCTGATATCAGGTTTGGGCTGATCTTTTCAATAACCAGATTACCTGGAGGTTTAAGAACAGATGTCTCTGGTTGTTCTTGGGGTGACTTTGATGGGCGTTTACCCAGCACAGCTTTCTGGGCCATTGCACTAGGGCTGTTCCTGCGCAGGGCTTTGTTGTCTGCTAGAGGTTTCTTCTTTTGGGAGGAAGCTCCTCTGCCGGATGGTGACATGCTAGCTCTGGATCCTGGGTTGGTAGGAGGAGGAGTGTGTCTAGGGGAACGCCTTTGGGTACTAGCACTTGAGGTAGTAGCCATGATGATATGATATCAGAGATATGTCCGGAGTCCAGGGGGCCAGCTTGGACAGACCCCTGCACCTCAAATTATTTGTTATATAGTAGTGTTGAAAGTATTAAAAAATAGGCTGTATATTGTTCGTTCACAGAGAAAAGACAATTTTTTGAGAAAAGACAATTTTATTATTTATCACCAATTCAATACATAATCAATAAATATATATTCAGAGAGAATTGAATTGATTGCTCTTACTGTGGCAGTAAATTTGGTAGGATCTAGAGTTTTGTTGGAGAGCAGACCGGCTAGGTCAGTGATGTTTTAGGGATGGAAGTTGAATTTCTCCCTTACTGAGGGGTAAAGCAAACAGCCAATTAATACGTGACCTTCGTCCTCAATAGTAACTCCATGGGCCTAGAAAAAAAAACTAAGATTGTTATATTCAGCCCTCCCAAAAGAAAGCAGTCCTATGAAACATTCACATTGGGAGGTCAGCCCATCCAGCACAACGAAAAATACTGCTATCTTGGCATAATATTCCACAGTATTTTCTGCTTCCAAATGAGAAAAGAGAAATGGATCATTTACAGCAGCAAATACTGAGCTGAGGGCTAAGGCTCTTCGTGCTCTCTATGGCCTCAAAGGAAATATAGTTAAGGATGCCCTCTCTCACCATGCCCTTAATATTCTATTTGACTCCTTAATAAAAACCAATCCTGCTTAATGGCTGTCAAGTCTTATGCCTCCACTCAAAAACCAGCATACCCTGAAATTTATTGAACAATACCACTATGAAAAATTCCACCTAAAGTTTATTAACTGGTCATTGTCCATCCATTTAAAAGCATTAATATAGGTTGCTGGGATCACGAAAGCAGGTGCCACCCCCTACTCTTCGAAGCCTGCAAACTTGCAATAGATTACTATAGGAAAACAAATTTTAGGAAAACAAGTTTAAATTTTGGTATTTATTGATAACAATCAAAACATATCATATCATAAAAATAAAGTCGCACGTTGGTTGACTGCCTCAGTAAGGTGAATAATATAAGCTCGAAGGTGCCCTGCGCATTTACAGAACCTCATGCGGCGATCACATGATCATGAGGACAGCTGTGAGCGCCAAATTTAGTCGCCTTGAAAGCACTCAAAACGAACTGTGCTGCATTTCACGAGCAGATCATGCTGGGCCTTTCTTGGTATACCAATATCTCAAAGCTTCTCGCCAAATACAGCTTAACACACTCATCTTCCTCAAAATCTAAGGTCTCCACTCAAATCAGTCACGACATGATGAAAGGTTTCGTGGATACTTGAAAACTGCCAAGGCATCCTCGCCAGAACTAAAATTGTATAATATAACTTAATTGAACAGGATTTTGAAAAGCAAATATAATGCAAATATAAGTGCTTTTGCTCTATCCAGAGCCCTTGCGCTTGAAGTGGCGTGCGCCCGCCTCCCGGCTTGGGAAACAAGCACGCCCGCAGTGGCGCGTAAGCACATGGTTAGGTGAAGGCTGCTTTATATTGATATTTTGATATTTTTGAAACAGTTTTTTTCAGTAAAAATTTAGAACCAGTGCTTTTTGGTAATTGCATTTTTAACCTCAATTTTGACAGATGTTACTCGTCTAAATTTCTTTGAAAAAGCGCGCGCCGCTTTCTTCTCGATGGCACGTCACAGGGGGGTCTGAAACCAGGTTTTCGATCAAATTCTGCCATTTGTAGTTAAACGTCGCCAACAGTTGCTCTCGTCCAATGAAATCGCTGCATTTTGCAAGTTAGTATGCATAATTGAATTACATATATTCATATGAGGAGCTTGGCTTACATAATGCAGCGACTTCATTGGACGAGAGCAACTTTTGGCAACGTTTGACTACACATGGCAGCGTTTGATCGAAAACCTGGTTTCAGCTCCCCCTGTGACGTGCTACGAAGTAGCGCGCACCGGGCCAGACCATTAACAATGGTCAACCTCAGTTTCATTTTGAAATCAAGTGACTAGTATTTAGTAAACGCCAGTCAAGTCAATACGTCAAATACTTTCTTCTACGAACATTTATTTTAGTATATTGTATATAATATTTTGAAGTGTAGTAATTATTTGTCATACGTTGTATGGCATCGCAGTGTTCACGGCTCATACTGCGCAAACGAAAAAAAATTTAAATTATTCTGCTCCTGAAATTTTGGCTGTTGTAATTAATACATGTTACATGTAATTTGTAATTGTAAAATAACAAGAATTGCGCCGGTTAGCGGACGCTAGATTTCCATCGACCGTAATTAATTACAATTAACGATGCCGTTGTCAATTATTTGAATCGAAAGTTAAACGACCGGACACCGTAGCGCAGCCTGTGCGGTGATATGCATGATGCAGTTAAAAGGACATCTGTCCGACAGCGACTCTTGTCCGACTCAATATGTTACCAGAAAAAAAGACATCTGTCCGAAATTCATACCGCTCTCCTGTGTGTAATGTAGGCTGTGATGTGATTGGCAGCTTGTTACAGCTTGTTAGTGTACGGCTAGCATGATCCTGTCCTCAAATAGTCAATCATGTATCGATGGATCAGATCTCAATGGATCAAATCATCTAAATATAATTAATCAATCTATTCGCAATCATGTTCAACATGATAGTCATAACATCATAATTTATACAACAACATAACGGATTACTAATATCGGGAGCCAAGCACCCACAACAAAATGAGAAGTTTGTATCGCATGAAGTTAACGAAAGCTTAAACGACAAATATCAATGCGAATCAAAATGTATAATAGCGAAAAGAGATATACATGCGCGACGTACACGATTTATTAGCTCGATTCTTGGTATAGAGTACACCTTGATGCTTGACATAAAAGCATTGTGAAATGCGTGCGCGCGACATCACGTAATAATTTGTAAAGGAGCACGTGTTTGCGAAGGTTAATGCATGTTTTGCTTTGTGACACCACGAAAAACCTATACCCACTATACCCATTCTCAAATCCTACCACTTCTAACCATCTATTGCCTTTTTAGGCGATGGAAAAAAATTAATAGATCCTGCGCGCGGCGCTCACAGCCGCACCTAAGGATTTCTCAAAAATGTATGGCTGTGTGCGCGGCGGGCTGTATATACATTGTTGGATTTGAAATTTGAATTTATTCAACATCTTCATTCCGTCAGATGTTGGCACTGAACGACCTTGAAATCACTCATGGTGTATTCAAATCAAAGGTAAAAAAAGTCATTCTCTCGTCTCAGGGTAAAGGTGACAAGAATACCTGGGCCCCTTTGGCAAACTTTCTGAACTCAGGCAGCTTGAACGACTAAATTTGAAAAAATAAAACTTCTTGTCTGAATGAACTCAAGAAAACAACAAATTTCAAGAAAACAACAAATTTTTATTTAAATCAATTATAGCAACAATTTGAAAAACTTTAAAGCTCTTCTATTACCATGGAATATACTACGGGTATGGTGACTTGGGCTATTGAGTTGTTAAGTAGATTAAGATTAGTAAACCTGCACTTGCATTGTATATTTTATAAAAACTAGAAATTAGGCTTCACGGTAAAATGGAGAAGCAGGCTGATCTTGGAGAGAGCAGACCGTAAAGTTTACGCACCCACCAGGGCTACCTACCTACCCCAGTTGTTCTTTTTGGTTTATCAGCTTGTATTGTTATATTTATGGACCCCAAGTCACCACACTAAGAAGGAGTATGTTTAAAAAAATAATAATAATAATAATAATAAATTAAGTTAATATCATCATATCTGTTTAAAACAGTAAAAGTCAAGTTGAGGATTGACTTTCCTAGTTAATTTAAAGGTTCAAACGTTTGGGAATATAATAATGTTGGTATTTGTATCTGCTGCAGCAATAATATCGAAATATCATTTGTCTAGAAAATTATGTATGCTATTCCACAATTTGGAGGCTATATAAAGAAAAGTGTTGGTTTTTCTTGGGAGGATTATGACATTGCTTGTATCACGTTTTGATGAGTCTATAGTACAATACAACGAGTATGGAGTGCGAAATTTCATAATTCGAAATATCTCAGATATACAGTGGTATTTGTACAAGTTTTGAACAGTAAGCAATTTTAGTCGATTAAAAATGGGCTTGGTGTGCTCTTTTTCGAAAAAAGCAGCTCCTAACCTCTGTTTTGTATAAGGTCTGGCTCGTGCACAAGTGGCATGTTTGTCGAGGTATGCATTTAGGTCTCCAAAAAGGATTCTTATACAACGTTTCTGAGTTATGAACAGCTTATCGTTTGGTTGGTCTTTGAGAGCTGAGCCCCAAACACTTATTCCGTAAGCAAGATGTGATTCCAATAATGCAGAGTATATTTTTTGGTAGTGTTCCCCTGGAACTGAATGTTTAATCCTGTTAAGTGCTCCTGTAGTGGATCTAATTTTTTTTCTTAGATATTCTATATGTGGGCCCCAGCTAAGTTTTTCATCAATTACTACACCAAGAAATTTGGTGTTGCTAACCTTGACAATTTTGTGTCCATTTATAAATATTCCTTGTGATTTGTCATGTTCATTGGCATACGGCCTAACCCTGGCGCAGGTTTCATCAGATTCGTATGCAGGTAGAAAATGTATGTAGCAGCATTTAGACATATTTATATGTAAGAGATTACTTCTCATGAATTTGCATACGAAATCAAGAACTTTATTGGCCTTCAAGTATGTTGCTTCTTTGGACGGTCCAGTGATAAATATATTTGTGTCATCAGCATAGAGCACAAATTTGCATTCATCGCCTTTGTAACAGTTTATTATGTCGTTCATATATAATAAGAAGAATAAGTTTATTATGTCGTTCATATATAATAAGAAAAGAACTATTAGAACCTCAAGAAGCTGATCCGCATGTCTCCGCTACTAAAATGTTTAATGAGCCCAATCACTCATCACTTAACAGTTTAATCTTCAAAGTGAGTTGTACAATCTAGGTTGTTTTAAGTAGCTGTTGATAGTGTAAAACAGGAGTGACTTGATCGTTTTCATAACTTCGATTTACAATTTGTACCATAATAAAACTAGCACTGCCATGGGGTTCAAAAAGGGTCATTGTAAGCCTCCAGCGTAAT